TGTTTTATTTCTAATTGTACATACACGTACACGTTTTAACGAGAACTTCTGTACTCCTAGGTGTCACGTGTTTAAATAAAGGATTGATTGATGATGATTGATTGATTGAGGCAATTATATAGCGCAAAAGTATCATTTTAGGGACAAGTATTCCAATTTATCTCAGATATTTATATATTTGCTGGTGCGTTTATTGCTACAACCTCGATTCTTTTGTTTGTTTTAAAGACTTAATTATCAATTTTTAAATGAAAATCTTATTTCTTTTTCGAGCAGAGAGAAAGGAGAGACGATAAGATAAGCAGAAACTGTCTTTTTCAACCTCAATTTACATACGCTTCACAGTTAACCTTGGTGTTTTAAGAAACGTTTTGGATTCGTGTTTATACATATGCATTTTAAATGGCGAAGACAAAAAGTTTGGGTGGTTTATAGAACATACTTCTCCCTAAACTTAAAAGTGTTTATGTAACAGCAATGTTTACAAAATCATCAACCAAATGTCAAGGCATAGGCGACAGACGAAGCAATGATAAAAATTACGAAAAACACGAGATCCATTTTAGCGGACACTCTCTGCCACGTGAACTCCTGGACTTTTGTAGGTTGCACAAATGCAGGGGTTCCTGTGCACTCAGGCATTTCGATGCCAGTCGTCGTAGAGGATTTCAAAGCCAGAGGATAATTGCTGTCTGCCTGTGACACATTGACTCTCCTCACTCTTGATTCCTTTTTAAAGTTGCCAAAGCTACAGAATTTCTCAATCCAGTTTGGTGGTGTTCCCTCCTTGAAGTAAACCCTCAGGACGAAAATGTTGGCGAAAAGGATAGCTGCAATTAAGATCATCGTTACTTGAAGATTAATACCCAGGATTGGGAGGCCATCTGAGGTAACTGGAAGGAAAGACGGAATGAGAAGCAGAAATACGGTCATGGCCAACAGGATAGTTGTGACAAAACCAATGCGTTCGCCGCTCTCCACATGGATCAAGAAGCTACTGAGTGCAAGAATCGTTAGGAGTGAGGTGGGAGTAAACAAATAGAACATATAGTATAGTGATTTCCGTTTCATTTCCAAAGTGTACACCACTTCACTGAAGTTAAATCGACAACAGTTCCCGTGATCAGTCTCGCCTAACGCAGCTGTGATGTTTGTTATTTCCCAATCTCCACTTTTCACAAAGCGAGCTGAAACGAAAATATGTATAGGTAATCGCATGGGGCCGAGTAAAATTAAGGACTAATATCACGCGTGTTTTCGGAAGTTGCTGAAATTTCCCGAGTCGTGCAGCGACGAGGGAAATTTCTGCAACTTCCGGAAACACAGGTGATATTAATCCTTAATTTTACGAGGAACCGTGTGATTCCTTGTTTATGATATAAGGGGCAAAATTTTTTTACTGATCTCGCGCAAAACGGGACGCCATTGTTACAAAATAAATAGAAATTTCTTTACCTCGGTAGCCGTTGCAAAGCGATTTTCAGCCAATCATTTTCAAGTAGTTTTGCCCGGGGCAATTACAAAAATTAAGAAAAAATGCCCTCTCTCTTGACCAATCACAATTCAGTAATTTTGTCCCTCATATGATAAGTTTTATTATTAAACGCCCCTCAGAAGTCTTTTTGGCATATTGAATTCTAACTGCTACTGAATACGTTTTTTTCCTACGAACTGTCTGAGAACAAACCAGGCAGAGATAACCTTTTCATTGGTATTGTTTTGTAAGAAACTGGTGATTTATTATAGGGGGGAAGGGTGGGGGAGGAGGAAGGGAGTGGGTGGTGCAAATGGAGAGGTCTTATCTTTTTGTGTACCGGAAAATGAGGGGTTGCGTGAAATTCTGAAATAATTTCTGAGGGGCATATTGTTTGGTGCATTCCATTCCCTTTTTAACAAAAGAAAACAGTACTGAAGGGACCAACACCAACCTACTCTTTGGGAGGGGGGCACATTACTTTATGCAGAGGTAAGAACAGGGTTACTGGGAATTAGGTGGAGGAAAATTGGCTCTGTTTCTTCCCGACCCCCCTACCCCCTCGCTAGTTTGTTCGCTCCAGGTTTCCTCCACCTTAGCAATGGATCCAGTATGGCGGCTTTGACACTATCATCATCATCATCATCATCATCATCATAGTTTATTTAGTAAAGCAGGTTGAGGGGTAGGCAAAACATTAAGTCCTGATGTGGACCTAGCTCGCCAGAAAATTCGATTACTTTGCAAGCTGTCAGATTACAGGTATGAAGGGGTTAAGTTGCAAAGTTGCACTGCACATCCTGTACTAGGCATAAAAATCATGCACGTTATCAGGGCGAATAGGCGCGCGCATTACGAGAACAAAGTATTGTTTTTCAATCAATGGAATTGGTAGAGAGGACTATGGTCTTGAGCTTTTGAACGAGGACGGGGACCGATATTTTTCATTGCATAGTTTTGGTGAACAAATTGTCCCCTTTGAATAAGAAATTAAAAAAGAAACTCATCAAAGGCAGAAATAAATACATAGCTAGAGAAGCGCGCACCAAGCCCGTTACTCGAGGACACTAAAATACGAATAAATGAACAAATCTTACTTGCAAATTTCCTTTTGTCCTTGAACAACTTTAGTTTCAGAAGATTCTTTCCGTAAGAGTACGAACCAAATGCCAGTTCACAAGTCTGTTCGTCAAATGGCCACTCATCTACTTTCATCTCACAGTTCGCTTTAAAAGTAGCTGGTCCACTCCAAACACATCTCCCTTTATCGTTCACAGAGATATCGGTGACGAACTTGGTTGGCCCTCCAGCAAGGTTGATCTTGTCATCGCCACTACAGACGAGGAATACATGCAGGTGTAAGAGTTTCTTTCCTTATCATTCCAAACTAGATCAGATACCGTGAACGTTCTGAAATTGCTTGACTAGGCTCAATTTCTGCCGTTTTCTCGGATCTGATCTTCGATCCACCCGAGGGGGAAGTTCGGGAGGAGGAGGAGCACAGGCTCATATCTGGGACAGCGGCCGGTAATTAAGCCTAAGACCTGGGGTGGGGGTAGGAAGCGTCTCTGAGATGAGGGCCTAATGGAGAGGGGGAAAGAAGATAATAATTGTAGAGAGCCATAATTTTTTTTATTTTTTAGAAACTTCTTCTGAATGACAAGGTCACATGATACGATTTAAGTCTGTTTTAGCGCTGAAAATGACCGACTGACTTTTCATCGACAAAGTGCATGTACAAGTTAGTTAAAACCAAATAATAGTGAGGAAGATGAGTGGCTTGGTCCCAGGTGATCATAGCGACATAGTCCGCTCTGTCAAACCTGGAATCTATCGTAACTCGTGATGTCACCCAAAGGGTAGAAAGCCTACCTATACCCAGACTGCGCACGGACAACAGGGCAATGTAGAACACTTAGAGAGTTGGCTCTAACAGGAGTAAAAAGCGGGGCATGTCGGTATATCCCTCCACTCGTAAACTAACTTAGGAAGTTGGAAGAATGGTTTGATCAGACTTACTTGTTGAATAGTGCTACATCTGGGACCCAGATTTCCTCAGGAGAGAAATGGATGCGGTTTAAGTCGCCGTACTCACTTGAGTTCCATGTTAGGAATTCATTTCTCCACGTCTGCAGGAGACAAAACGGACGTAACTAGACACAATTATGGTGGTGTACTCCAGTCATAAGTTAACGTGACCGCTGTGAATTGCAGCTCTGATAAAATTACGCTCAAACTGGAACTGCATGCACAATATCTTTGTTCACTTTTTCATAGGTTTTTTTCTCAAATGGAAACTGACCAGGAGTTCCCAGACCTGAATTTTGATCTCAGACCTCATCTCATCTGGGGACCGAGGGACCTCAGACGCCACCTGGGGACCAGTCACTAATTTATTCGCCAGGGAGGTTGAGGGGGGGGGGGAGGTTTTTGGGGGCATCGTATGGTTTTCAGGGGGACAGGAAGGGGAATCAGTCGTAGCCAACAGAGGGAGGATTAAAGGGGGGACTATAGAGAATTGACTGCCACTGAGGGGGGGGTCTGATGAGTATTATAGAGCCTTTGGGGGCACATTGGGGATCAGGTAACTTTTAACTCCCCAAGTGATTGTTTCGATGCCATAAGAATTTGCATTACAAAATAAACAAACAAACAAACAAACAAACAAAAACAAATATAATTAAACTAAAAGGAAAAAGATCCCTATACCTGTATGACCCAAGTGTCCAAAACCACTAATTGCTCTTTATTATCCTGTTACAAAGAACAAATGAGAGCATAAATAGGGTGGGCAGACTGTGTAAGTAAAGTCATTTGTGGAGCAACTATGATACTACGCGCGCTTGGATTTGTCAGGAAGGTTCAACTGAGACACAACAAACGCTTCCGGCTCGAGATTTAAAAACTTTTCTCGCGTTCTCCAAACATCCCACGTGGGTTAAAACAATAATAAGCCAATAGAAATTGCGGTCTATTTCTTAAATAGTTTACTGTGCCGATACGCTCGTGGCCTGAAAATGTTGTGAATCTCTTGTGTTGGCTTTACTGACAGTTGACGGTGAACATCCCGCATTTTGACAGTTGAAGATTAATGTTGTGGCCATTAAACGATTGATGCGTAGCCTCAACGAGAACATCCTAACTGAAAAATTTTTGTTTTGTGGAACCACCTTCCCGTATGGTAAGACTGGAAAGATAATGTGCTTGTGGCCACAAGCCAGAATTCACAGTTGGAAAGAACTCAACTGTGTATCGACTGCGAATGTCGAACTACTAAGATACTCCGGAAAAAACAATAAGTAGCACCGGGAAACGTCGGTTCAAATTGGGTCAAGATCAGAATTCTATGTCACACTCACTCACACACTCACTCATCACTTTATTAGGCTTCACCTTCTGTAGGAGGCAGTAGCCACAAAAATTACTAGTTATTATTAGTTGCATTCTCAGGTTTTACTCTGATTACGACTCATCACTGTAACTCACCCAGTTTGAACCAGCGAAAAAAATTTTGCGAGAGTTGACAAGTGAGATCTAATACTTTTCAACCAAAAGTGGGCGACATTACAAAGATTTGGCATATTTTTTAACTTATCGTTTAAGGAAAGGAATGATATATTCGTACCACTTTCACAAGCCTGCTGATTCTGAGCGCTAACGACACTTCAACTTCTCTTTTTCCCCTAAGCACTGGGCGCACCTTTTTGTCATAATTCTTCAAGAGGTCCGCTCGAATATGATGTTCAAAGGAAGTTTTCGTTGAACCAACATACCCTAATGTGAAATGAGTGAGATCAGATAAGACAAAATACGAACAAAGTTCCCTTGCAATCAGTGTTAAATAAATGGCATCACAAAAAGAAAAGGATGCGTACTTCTCCAACCAGTCAAAACAAAGAAAAAACCGTCTAGTTTTGTAAGTATATTTAGCAAATCTTTGGGTGTAATTATATAGCTATGTGACAAATTTATAAATGACCATGACGTTTTGATAAAATAGGCAGATATTGCCCTGGTTCTTTTGGGTTCGAAAATTAATTACGTTAATATTTAGCTTGATTTATTTGAGCGACTTGGGTTTTTTCCTCTCACATGCAGTTTGTCACCTTCAATATATTACAGATCAATGAAAAGTAGCGCATAATTGACCTCTTTGACTAGATTAGGATTTGACATTTTTGGAACATGTTTAAAATGTAATTAGTAAACGTAGAAACGAAAACAATAACAAGCGATGTTTTCACCAACTCACTAATTATCTCTCCTCAATTTCAACAAAATCCAACACTGAAACATTCCCTTTCTGTACCAAAAACCAAGATAATTCGCCATTAAAAACAGGAACAACGAAAACTTTAAGCTATACCTAAATGTGTACCGTTTCATAAACGCATCGACAATAAATTCAGTAATTAAAATTCACTTACCTTCAAACAAAGATATGATTTTTAGGAAAATTACTACCACAGCAATCGACTTCATTACTTAAGGACCTCGTTAGACTTAGAAAGTCTTTCCCGATCTTTAATCTTCGATACCTCAAATTAGCTTGGGTTTTCACACCTCTGATCCAGGGCGGCAGTTTACCAAAACCTTTGTGACTTATCCCTTAAAGAATCAATATCAAATGAAATGCACTACCAAAGTTTCTTGATGATTAGGAATATTTTATATTGACGTCAGATTTACACAGCTGCATCACGAAATGAGATCTACTGCTTTAACAAGAATTTTAAACATTGTCATGTCTAAACCGAACAAACTGAGTACAGAAACTTATTTGCTTGTGTACTATCAGTTAAGAAAGTAAGATTAAATTTCTTTATCACTTTAAAATAGAAAAATTCGAACAAGCAATAAAATATACAGTGGTGTATTGATGTCGTATCTTGTAGTTTACAGAAAGCCCGAACAATATCATCACCTGCAAGCCTATGTCATCGCAAGATTAGAATACCCAGGCGATATTATCAGCTGCATGATTTTGCAATACAATTGCAGATCTCAGCCATTTTTTTTTTAACATGTTTTGTTAATCTCATGCTTTGTTAAATATTTGAAACATCTCAAGAAACAATGTTTAGAAAATCACCACACAAATTACTGTTAAATTATTCATGATAACTACTGATCATGACAGGTCGGATTTATCTCTTTCATTTCAGTTTCTTTTTTTTCATGTTAATTCTTGGTTTATAGTATATTTACTGTCATTCTTTCAATGATTTATAGAAGAACAGGAGAACCCCGCAATCTTCAGTCCCAGTGAACCGAAAAATGGTTCGAGTTAACGTGGCTTCGAGTTATCGAGATTGGTGTTGAATTTCAATTACTTTGTTAATGATAATAATGATAATAAAAAATATAACCACTCTTGCAGAATCAAGAGTCATTTTCACACATCTGTTTTGTTCTATAAGATTTTTTATAAGAACGTTTAGTTTGGGAAGTTTAGCTAAATGTAATACGTTTTCATGAATGTTAACACGTTTGTAAAAAAAATCGCAATTAAAGATTGGAACGTGTCAATCAGCCATGTTCTAGCACTTTGACGTTTATCCACCAACGCTTTTAATGAAAATTTGAGTTATCAGGGTGAATCTGAGACAAGAGAAAGTGAAAAAAGTTCGAGTCCGAGTTAGCCAGTCAAATCCAAGGGAAATCGGATTTTGCTCGAGTTGGGGAGGGGAGGGGGGGAGCGGTCTCGACTTAACCAGGGTTCGAGATAACGGAGGTTTTAAAATATTTTTGTTTTTTCCTTTTTTTTTTTTTTCAAAATCCCATAATCTCCTTCCGGCGCTTCCGTTATATTTTATTCAAATAGCTTACGAATCTGTATCGCATAATCTTCCTTTGTAATTCAGTAACGTATTGTTACGCGTAAACTGATTCAAATTATTCAACGACCATTGACAGTTGAAGATGACATTAGTAGTATCGAAGCATGTTTGCAAACTTGAAATTTTTTTTTTAATAAGAATTTTAAATTCTAATTAGTAATTTAACATTATTAGCCGACTTGGAAAGATTCGTTTTGTTTGAAAGGTGACTTCTACTCCGCAAAAGTTCATTTTGGTAGCTGTATAAGCACGTGTTTAACTTTTGCAGTCTTAAAATTATCTCGAAAACCAAAGGGACTATATATATATAGATATATATATATATATATATATGGATCCAATTACGGATACAGGCTAATTTCAATGAAACAAATTCTGTATACGAGGGAAACCCTTTGTCATCCGCTAAGTTGACTTCGGTCGTGTATCTTTAATAGATCCTTAGTTGGGTTTCATGTGGGTTTATAGGCTTCCCCTACCCTGTCACCTTGAAAATTAAGTTTCCCGGGAGACCACGTTTCCGATCACGTAAATCGCATCTTCGATTGCCGTGATTGCCAGCATGGTTGTCCTGATAGTGTAGTGGTCATCACACCTGACTTAAGTAACAGGGGGACATGGGTTCAAATCCCGCTCAGGGCAAATTTTCTTTTCAAACATTTATTCTATTTATATATTTATATATATATATATATATAATATCGAAGACTTTATTTCATCCGACTCTTGCATATGTGTGTGTGTGCTCTCTATGTTTTGCATAATGTGCCAGCTTACTTAACTATGCGTACACAAAATATAACTTACAGTAGGTGCTAATGATCATGTGCTTATATGTTACAGCGACCGCGAAGACGATAAGCAAAAATTGAACATAGTTACACGATCTGCACGCGAAAAGTCAAGAAGCTCACGGTAGCATGAAACATCGTGTGACATTTTTTTCATTTAAATATCATTTTCATTGTTTTCCCCAAAAGCACCTAGGCTTAACGAGTTACAACATTAAAAGTTTTAAATCAATTTATTCAGGCTCACACACAAACAGAAACACAAACAACACACACAAGTTGCAATAACAACGAGTTACCTCTCTAAGCTAGGAATATACCATTTAAACAATCAAACAGTGGCCTCCGAAAAGTGCTTAGTGTTAATTACAAAACTTTGCTCTTTGCAAAAAAACAACAGATCACATCTTATTTTACAGACTCGACACCATACAATAAAAAAATTAGTTTCCTTGCAACGCTGCTCGATGACTATGTTTCACCTAAAATATTAGCAGCAGAGCTAAGGAGGACATCACGTTTAGAGGCATAACTTGGACAATGCAAGAAAAAGTGTTTGAATGTTCGAATGATGTGAGGCTTTTTTTAGCAAAATGCTAATTCCCTTTATTTCTCATACCTCAAATAAATAGCCTGCTTAGGTGTTCAGTTACGAAAACAAAGCACGGTAGGAAGCCTACGGTGGAGCGAAAAAACGAGGGAGGTCTGAGTCGGATCGCCCGGCCAACCTCGTTTCCAGGGCCTTTTTCCTTAGTTGGAGAGAGGCCCTGGGAACGAGGTTGTTGGGTTGCGTTAGGTTTACAGGGTAGTTTACAGGTGCTATCTAAGCGACCCGACCCAGGCTTCCCCGCTTTCGCTCAGCCGCTGCTAGTACTTACTATTACCACCGATTACTGAGGGTCTCAGTGGGGCGATGGCTTATACAGCTAACGGTTAATATCATTCCATCGTTGTCTCCAGAAATGTTTATTACGGTTGACTTTTTTTACACTATCGTTTAGAAATCTGTCAATTTTTACGCCTAACAGCTAAATGTTTTGGCCGTTCCCAGCTATTTGCATACATACATACATAGACATACATCACCTTTATTTCACCTCGGATTTACAGAAGTCGCTATATAGCTCATTTCTCCGAGAAAGAGAAAGAAAATTAAGTAAATAAATAAACGAATAAATAAAATAAATAAAAATAAATAGTGTCGTATATTATATACAGTACATTACACTACTATTTACATAAGTAACAATCACATTTATGTTCGAAGGAAATTTATTGTTCGCAATAGATTGTATTCTTTTGCTATCGATCGGTTAACCCCATTGAGACTCTGAACTTTAAATCGCTTTATTTTATCAACTGAACGCCTGTAAAAGGCGAAAAATATAACACATAGCCATCGCCAGAGCGGTTGCATGCAACATTTTACATATGATAAAGAAAAAAAAAATGCCCGATTGAGTTAGTACGGCATTATTCAATTTTTTCCCTTTGACAAAAGGCTAATAAAATGCAGACTGATCATTTTCTTAGGAGGCGACAAGAAACAATGACGTACGTTTTACATAAATTTGTCTAACAACATGCAACCGTTGCTTTGCTCATTTCCAGTGGTCATGAATACAAAATTGTTATTACTAGATTTTTTTTGACGGTACTTTTCGTTGGGGTTGCTGCTGTTTAAAAATTGCGCTTGACCAATTCATGCTTTCGTTGTTTCATCTCTCAGTTACACCACATGCTTCTGCCAAAGCTATATTCTTCGAAAACTGAAGTTCGCAGGCAAAGATTTCGAAGCAAATGTATTTTGACAAATGAGAACCTCCAGGGTGCCTTGAAGGTCTAATTAGATGTGTACTAAAACGTCGAAAAAAAAATTTAAAAAAATTCACTTCGTTAATAGCCTTCAAGTTCCGTTGATAAACGACCTTTACCGAACGAGTGTACATGTCTATCCAAAACTAAGGAAAAACTAAATAAAAATACATTTTGATATTTTTAATGATTGAATTTGAAGCGCAATCTATAGTCCTTCAGTTGTCACATTTATGGTTTAGCTCGAATATTTTATAATCAACTCGTATCCCACACCAAACAGAAAGGGTTGCAGTTTCCTCTTAACATAAAAAAACCGAAAGGTCTATGTGTTTAGAAACTTTAACGAGCTGCTTCTTGCCTTTTCTGTTTGTTATTAGCCCGGTGGACGATGAACGCAAAGATGCAGACTGCAATACCAACAATCAAGAACACAAAACCAAACGAGAACAAAATAATAATTGTTCTTTGGTCGATCATTGCACAAGAGCCCGAATGACTTGTCGTTTCCTTATCTGAGGTGTTTTTTCCACTCCGCTCAACACAGCTGAATCCGATGACGAGAAAAATCAACCCTGGGAAAAAGAACAAAGTTGTTGTCATCAACAAACCACAGATACTCAAGTCCACTTTCTTGCAAAATCGCATGTTTGGAGTTGTCTTCTTCCTCTACCGTTCGAGCTTCGGGCCTTGGAATGGAAAAGTTGATCCCAATTCGATCTTAAAAATTTTCAATCGCGTTCACAGATGTCTGGAAAAGCTCCTTCTTTCAAATCATGTTTCCTGGCCTCCGAGCTGTGTACAAAAGATTTGTCTTGTGTTCCCTGATCGAACTGGATGACGAAACAATTTTTCTAGCAGGGTTCTTTGTTTCTAGCGAGGCGCTAATGACATAGAGAAAATTACAAATGTATTATAAAGTGTTTAGGAAAGCGTTTCGAAGCGACTGAGCGGTAGCGGCGACACCTGGAGAAATGTATAAATCGCTGCCTTTTCAACTTCCGTCTTCGAAAAATATTTCTTATCGTTCCAAATCCATTATATGGTTAGACTTTTTGTCGCCAAACAGTCCAAAAAGCTGGACTTTTTGCATTTCATTTCTGATACACAACTAGTGTGAAGTGATTAAATTGAACGAACCCTTATTGGACAACTC